CCTGGAGATTAGCTTGCCCTGGATGAATATACGTTATCTATATACTGACCTGCTTTTCACATGGATTAATGGAGAACCAGGAAAAGGCTTTCTACGTGATGGCTTACGTGACAGTATTGCGAAGGAACACCTTTGATTTTCAGTTGCCTAAAACTACCACTCCGCAGATTGTACCAGTTCAAGTTACCCAGGCCTTTGATAAATCCATGCAGTAAAATCTCTTCACCATTAAACGCCACAGGACGAGTGGTATCGATAGGTTCGGATTGATGAACGATCGTTTCGTGCACCCACTGCTCTTTCTTGTCAGCAATGCTGGCTTTGAAGATCCAAATGTCCATTCTTTTCCTGTCTTGATCCAATTCATAATCCAAGTCCACCAAGCATAATTCACCTCCTAGTTCCACCAGATATAAGTTAAACCAATTCTTTTCTGAAACACTTTCTGGTAGAGAAATGGCTTCGAAGATTTCATTTCCAACATCAAAGGAAACAATTGAGAAACTAGATGGACCACCAGGATCAGTAGAATCAGCTGTAATCCAGTAAAAGAACCCGCCAGCAAACACCGCTGGCTGGTGGTGTAGAAAGCGAAAACAAGGATGGTACCTTACTGTCCTCCAAGAATTATTGCCCGTTGTGAATATTTCAATCCTGAGATTATCCGTAAAAGGGTACTCTCCTTCCAGAGGCTCCAGAAATTTGATGACCTTATGTTTACCACTCATTCGATCAAACCCAAATCCGCAGCTCAAAGATCGAATGCCCTCAGCATCAATATCTGGGAGTCTGGCTATGTTTTTGGTGCTAGGATTGCAAACATGAACACCACCATGGAGACCATAAAAGCAAACCAAGCCATAGCATGAAGGTAAAATCTGGTAAGAGTCGAAACTTACAGGAGCAGAGTACTCAACAACCGCAAGCTCATCATTGTCTCTGACGGTGAGGATGTGAACTATGCTGTTAAGATTTCCATGCTGCATGCATGAAAGGATTAAGCAGACATCATTACCTTCATCTGCACCGTACTTGAGGTGGGTAACAATAAAACGTGGATCCCTGATGAAGGAGCGACAAAGCTTGTTTAAGGCCTTGAATCTCGCTAGAGATTTTACTGGAAGTCGAACGAGAATGTCAAAGATTACAGGGCTTGGCATGGAAGCCATTTCTTCTAGGTTCGTTCTCTGGAGGTAGATTTCCATTTATACATACAATCCATTGGACTTTCCTTTACCCTTTTTTTACAGAAATTACTGACCTTAAACTAGAGGCTTATTGGGAACGAAAATCAATCATTTTCCGCAATCAAATGTTTATAAATGTTTAATTTGTGGGTCAGTGAAAAATTGAAGAAGTCATTTGTATATATATTACCAGTTCGGTGCTGTGATAATCAAGGTTCTTGTCATTATGTGTGAACTCTGTTCATCATGGTTTCAACTTCCATCTACAGAAAACACAATTACTTTTGATTTTGAAGGTGAAAGTGGACCAGTTGGGCCAGAAGTCTAATTTATTACCAGGAAGTGTTCAAGGCTGTGCCCGCCAGTCTTCAAAAGGTGTCTGTTTTAAAGATTGCATTTCCATTTTCCAACCAAGAAATTAATTCAGCCTTGGTTTATGATGCATGGCCTGTCCGCCCCTAAAATATACAAACGTGCAACAAATGATTTAATTTGTGCATAGTCAACATTAGACAACGCATTGATTTTAATTACTAAAATAAATAACTATGGTAAATTGTATGAGCGGAGAAATTCTCTGGAGGATGTGACTTGATCTTTCATGGGCCTAGTCCGACGTTGTAGCCATGGAAAAGTAGACCCACTAAGGCAGTAACTAGAATTTGGACTTAATCAGATTCGGCTCATGCGATGAGGTTCAGATCTTTAGGCTTCCCAAGTGTATTCCAACTTTGTTATTGGGCCCATAACGAAGACTTTTCCCTGCGCCCTTCTTCTCTTTTGCCACCTCTTTTTTGTGTTAGCCTTGATATTTGGGCCCAAGTGCTAGGAAAAAGGAAGAGAAAGAGCCTGGAGAAGTAAATATATTTGATTTAGGGATATTTTTTAATCCAATCTTTAATTATTGCATGCGCGTGTGTACATATATAATAAAAGTTATATTTATAAATTATGATTAAAAATGTATTATAAAATAAGCGATGGAATCTTATATGTATAAAATTCATTAATTAATTGTAAAAATAATTTTGTTGGTTAATGGAAGGTTAATGGAATATAGAAAACATCACACTTCTAGTGGTAGTACCATCAACAACCTGGAAGGTTAATGGAAACCTTGTGCTAATGACCCTAAGCAGTAAGCACCGACTTGAAGTTATAGACTGTCAAATGAATTGATTGATGAGTTAACAAAGAAGCAGACAAAAGCACGAGGCCCCCGGCACACGAACAGAGGACCTGGGCGCAGCATGACTCAGTAAATCACGCCACTATGTTTGGAAAATGGAAGGGTGCGGGGTCGGTGCTTGGTTTATCTTCAATAAGTAAACCAAACTATATTGTTTTATCACCCTTTTACTAACTTATAGGTAGGGAAAGATACATTATACCAGAAAACAGATTCCTTCTCTTGAGCAGCAGAAAGGTTAACATGATTTCCAACAATGTTAATGAGATTGGGCCACCTCGCACATGGCTTATAAAACACCTTCATATGGTGTGTTTTTAGTGTAAAAGATTTCCAATATTTCGAGTTACCAGTTGATTTTTTTGGCATGTAAGACATGTTAATGTTGATAATTGGAACTTTGGGTAGTCAAAATCTAAAGCAATTCATCCCATTAATTAAACGATTATGATGTCAATTAAGAATAAGGTCGACCTCATTGAGGTGGAGTGGTTGATTTTCATCATGGATTTTGCCATGTGTTTAGAGAAACCTGCATCTTCTGTAGGCACGTGAAGGGGTTCTTTTCAATCACAAAATGAAGTTTAAGGTGTATCACAATTAACATAATTATGTTCACATGACTTAGCTCAATTGATAAGTAAATGATTTTTCTTTTGAAAAGAATTATTAATATAATAATAAATTTATTATCTAAACTTTGTTTGAATTCCATTATAAAATATCTTAATCTTATTTAGTTAAATCAATAATGCAAGATATTCGTTTATAAGATATTTATTAACGTTTCTAATCAATTGTAGGCCAAAATCTTAGAAATAATGAACAATTGGAGGAGGATACTTGAAGAGGAAAGAAAGGAACTTGAAAATTCTAAACTTCTAATGCTTGCCTTTAAAAGGAGAAATATGATATGCAACAGATCACATGATGGGATCAATTAATCAAAATTAGAAAAACCATAAATTAATTCAAGATGCCATGATTTTTTTAAGTGTAAACTACCTAAAGAAAACATAGTATTTCGCTAAGAACTGCACATAAATCAAACAAAACAGTATCCAATGTAAGAAAAAAAAAAAGAAGAAGCAGAATTTATGCAAGCGTGACATAAGGGGTGAAGGCTCTAACACCAAAATGAAGCTCATTCAGTGGGAAAAATGGAGAATGGAGGACCCACAAAAGCAACCACATCTCCTTCTTTTAGCCTCTTTGTCAAGCAGTGGAAGACCCCTTTATTCCTTGCCCTTTTTATTGCTTTGGGTTCTCATTGTGACTTTGAATCTTTTATTTTGTCTCCATTTACATGTTTAAGAAAAGAAAAAGTTTTCCCATCATCAAATCTGATGTTAGCAGAAAAGAAGTAGCACTAGATTTTTATTCTTTAAGTCAAGATTGATGATTTCCCTCAGCTTTTGGTCATGGATTACCAAATGCTGCCGTGATGTACGCTCAATTAGTGATGATTTTTAGGCACCAGAGCAAATCGAGAGTGGGTAAACGGAAAAGCTCCAAATCCTCTTAAACCTTTTGACTTTAGATGAATTTTCAACTGACCTTTAACATGTTCATTCATGCTAAGAGGAAGAACAGGAAATAATAAAGGCTTGTTAATCTAGCTCACTTTGTTCATCAAAATCTGTCTCCCAGTCTGAGCTCTGACAAATTCGAGTAGCAGTTTCATTTGTTTTTTACAGTAGAACTAAACTCGGAAACCGTGGACTGTCAGGGAGTCAGGACTAAATAAATATGATCAAGTCCCAGCAAACAACTCACGACAAAATACGTGTTAAATTTCGTGGTTGTGTTGTCTCCATGGATTGAAGTACAGCAGTAACCCTCTCCTTTGTATAGATTAGCTTTTTGATAGCTTCCTGAGGGAGGATCTAGAAAATAATGGACACTACCGCACTGGTAAAATGGAAGTGAAATGGACGGCCATAAATGACATGTAGGTTGTCCCCATACCCTACCCTGTCAAGCATCAGTAAGACAATGGAAATCCCATCTTTTTCTGTTGGGGCACCGCCCCAAATGAGGGCATTAAAGGCTTTTCGATTCCCTTCTTTTGTGAAAGAAACCACCCCATAGGTAATTTAATGAAGAAAACAGCTATACGGTAGAAAGAGCTCAACCACATAAATATTTATTATTAATAGTATTCATTTTATTATTTTTTAAAAAAAAGCAAAATATAGTGACCTCTACTTCTGCCGCTATATAAACCTCTAGGTCTCTTTTGAAGCTTAGTTTTGGTTTGATTCTTTGCTCATTTTGGAGAGGGAGAGAGAAGAGATGAAGCACTGGGGTCTGGCTTTGTTTGTTTTTCTTTTGTTTCAAGAGCAAGGAAGTTTTGTGCAAGTGGAAGCTGATGATGGGTTTGTCAAAACTAAAGGAATGCAACTTATGCTGGATGGGAGCCCTTTCTATGCAAATGGGTTCAATGCTTACTGGCTTATGTACATGGCTGCTGATCCATCTCAGAGAAGCAAAGTCTCAACTGCATTTCAAGAAGCTAAACAGCATGGCCTCAACATAGCCAGAACTTGGGCTTTCAGTGATGGTGGAGACAGACCTCTTCAGTACTCACCTGGTTCCTACAATGAGCAAATGTTCCAGGTTAAAAAAAAAAATTCAGATTAAACTTTTGGTCCATGTCTTGTCGATGATCTGGGTTCTGATTGCTTTTCTTTTTCTTTCCTTGAAGGGATTGGATTTTGTAGTGTCTGAGGCTAAGAGATATGGGATTAAGCTAATCTTAAGTTTTGTGAATAACTATGATCAATTTGGAGGGAAAAAACAGTATGTGAACTGGGCAAGAAATCAAGGACAGTCCATTGGCTCTGATGAAGATTTCTTTACAAACTCTGTTGTGAAGGAATACTACAAGAACCATATCAAGGTCAGTCACTGTTCTCCCTTCTCTTTCTCTTACTCTCCCTGTCTCCATCTCTGATATAAAACATTTTGAACGTTTTGCCTGTTTCATCTTTTCCTTCTTCTTTCTATGACTATGAGTGAGTAATAGAAACGGCTGCCGGTTGGTGAAATCAAAACTTTTTCTACATTACTAAGATGGATTTTGCATTGATTAAGTAATTTATTAGTAGTAAATTGGACAGTGGTAGATGAACCTTTCCGGCTCTAGCTGGTAAAAGCAGCAATGTCATTTAACACAGCATACAGACATATAACTTCCATGCAACTGATGAAATTATTGCCTGCATCATGCATTAAAATAATTTCTAAATAATGACAAACAGGAAAATTAAATACATAGAAACTAACTCATTCTGATAATCTCTCTCTCTCTCTCTCTTTGGTGTGTTTGTAATTAGACTGTTCTTACAAGAAGAAACAGCCTGACTGGAGTGGCTTACAAAGACGAACCAACAATAATGGCATGGGAGCTTATGAATGAGCCTAGGTGCTACTCGGACCCATCAGGAAGGACCATGCAGGTAAGGCAATCAATTTCATCATGTTTCCTCTAGGTTATTTTCAATGCAATATTTTTGACAAATTCCTTAAAACTATTTTCTCATTTCAATTTAATGTGAATGGTCTTAGGTTTTAGTTAGTGCTTTTTGCTTACCCCCATGATATCCATTATAGTGGCGTTCGAAGTTGCACCTGCTCAACTTTTAGTAGCATTTTTTAATTAGATGGAGTGGCATTTACCTGTCTCCCATGTTCAAATGTGTCATGGTGGCCTGATGGGACTGGTAACCTAGTCCATTATTTGACTTGATTATGTTTGTTGAACAGGCCTGGATTACAGAGATGGCTTCTCATGTGAAATCCATTGATGGTAATCACTTGCTAGAAGCTGGTTTGGAAGGGTTTTATGGCCCATCATCGTCTCAAAAGCAGCAGTTTAACCCTAACTTCCAAGTAGGAACTGATTTCATTGCAAACAATCAGATCCCAGGCATTGATTTCGCTACAGTTCACTCTTATCCCGACCAATGGTAATGCAAGAGAAATTTTACACCTTGAAGCCAACCCAATGTACCCAATCCTTCCCTGAACCTGAATGATTTTGCTTGTTGGGCAGGTTACAAAGCTCAAGCGATGAAAGCCAAATTGCCTTCCTGAATAATTGGCTGAACAATCACATCCAGGATGCTCAGAACATCCTCCAGAAGCCAGTGCTGTTTGCTGAGTTTGGAAAATCATTAAAAATCTCTGGTCCTAGCCAAAGAGACGAGCTGTTCAACACTGTGTACACAGCAATTTACTCTTCGGCTAGGGGAGGAGGTGCAGCAATCGGTGGATTATTCTGGCAGCTTTTCGCTGACGGAATGGACTCTTTCCGAGATGGGTACGAGGTAATCCTGAGCGAAGGCACCTCGACCGTCAACATCATCACTCAAGAGTCTCAGAAACTCAATCGGATTAGGAAGATGTATGTGAGGTTAAGGAACATCGAGAAATGGAAGAAAGCTAGGGATGTCAGAAGGGCACAATGGTGGGCTGGGAATGGTAACAGTAACACAGGAAATTGAGACAGAGAAGTCCTCATGGTGTTTGAATAGTAAAGTATAAGAGAACAAAAAAAGTTACTAGTTGATGTCCTACTATTTTATAACGAGGTTTTGTTTTAAGGAGGCGAATTCTCTCCTAGAAATGAACTGTAATCATCAAAGCTAAAAGTGTAATAGATTCTGTGATTAAGTACTAATTTGATGAACCAACTTATTTTGTGCTGTAAGCTAGAATAGTGTTTGCACTACTAAATGAATTCAGGCAGAGATAAATAAAGCAAATGGGCATTTGAATTTCTTTGAAAATTGCGTAGGAACTAATAATTCACATATACAAAGCATTACTCCTATATTTGCACTGCAAAACAGCAGAAAGCAGCAGACTGGAATTCTCAGATTCCAGTCACCGGCTCAGTCTAACATAGCAGCCTCTGGAACAAAAATTTTTTATATTACGGTTCCATCTTTAATTGTTGCATTCTTCAATATGACTGTGATCCCAGACCTAATGTAAAATCCATCTTCTGGTCTGTCAGCTTCTTGAACAGCCTGAGTGGTCAAAATATATTGTTAAGGAACAGGCATCCTACATATCTGTGAAGAGATTATAGAAAGAAAAAGAGATATCTAGAGATTTATGATTCATAGAAGCGAGGAAAGCAATACTTACACCACTATTTGATATGATCACATCTTTTCCTATCTTGGCATTCTTGTCGATTATGCAGTTCCTTCCAAACACAATAGCAAGAAGTCATTATTTAACAGAGTAAGGAATTGTTTTAAAAACATATAGTATATTTTATATGATGGAGATGATCAATTCAAACATTTTAGAGTGCACAAAAAATAGGTGCTGTGGGGTGACAGATGTGGTTTTTCAATCTAAATCTCGCCTGATCTTGGTGTTCTGCCCAACACCAATGGGAACCTTTCCTTCTGCTAGCAGAGAAGCTACTTCATACTCTGTTTGGTAGTAGTCTGCTCCCATCATCATAGTGTCCTGCAGAAAAAACATATAATCAAAGTGAAGATAATTTTTTACTCCAGAAATAAGGAGATTAATTCATTGAAAACAGAGGTCCTTCTAAAAGCCCTTGTTAGATACTTAGATCTAAGTGAAATAGAAGATGTTGGATCACCTCAAGCTCAACACCAGACTCCAAACGTGAGCGCACACCCACTATAGAGTGCTGTACACTACATTCTCGCAAGAAGCAACCATGTGAAATTATGGCATCAACGATCTGCAACAACCAATTAGCCACGAGATGAGAAAACGAAAGTATTAATTACGATACAAACTAAAGCTTGAAGTCATACCCCGCATTTATCAACTTTGGTAGGAGGCAAGAATCTTGGAGATGTATAGAAAGGTGTCTTTGGATCATAAAATTCAAACTTTGGTGGCTGCATGGAGAACAAAAAAAGATCAGTTTTCAGGAAATGGACACCAAATGCCATGTTTGGGCTTATAAGGGATACATGAGTGGGATGAGTGAGGTACCCCATAGTGCAACATGGCCAATGAAGTAATAATGCAAACACGACATGGCAGCATCTCAATAAGAATCTTTATTTATTTATTCAGCAGAACTATTATGAAAATTTTGTAAACTTTTGTTACTGCAGCCAGCTTATTTAAGATATTATAGTTATTGTGCATCCCCAATGTATGGGGATGTTAGTTTCTGTGATGGTCAGTAACTCACATAGAAAATTAACTTTTACAAAAAACAGTTAGAGCAACCTGTTCTGTGAGGGCTAAATTGGCATCAAAAAACGACTTTATTGTCCCAATGTCTTCCCAATAGTCATTGAACAAATATGCCTGCGAATATTCAAACAGCCAGAAACTCAGCAGTTTGATCACCAGATTAGAAGTCCTCATTATGGCAAATTATAACATCTGATTACTACTGAAAAATCCAGAGAGAAAACTAGAGGTAAAAGTTCTAGTAAAAGTCATCTTGCCTGCAGATTGTGCTCCTTTACTGCTGATGGAATAATCTCAGAGCCAAAGTCATTGCATGATGGATAGCTCCGTGTCAGAAGCTTTAACAAGACATCAGTTTTAAACACATACACACCCATTGATGCAATATATGGATATCTTGCAGCATCTTGCGCTGATAGCCCTAATATGGAGGTATCAACTTGCTGTAGTACAAATGTGAAACAAGCAAGACCCCTGATTAGAGAAAATAATTGATGCCAGTATTAAAGAATCCTTGTAATAATGTTTGGAAACAACAAAATTGTGGAAATGTGGGTTAAGAAGTGATAAGTAGTTCAAACATGTACCATTGCTTTAAGATTGGGGCCCTTCGGTTTTTCAGAAAACTGGATGATGCGCCCTGTTTCATCTATCTTCATCAATCCATAATCTGATGCACGGCTGCAACAAACCAAAATTTAAGGAAATTCCAAAATTCTGAAGGAAGGCAACCATTGGCATATACTTCATGTTCTGACCAACAGAAACTTATAATCTATATCAAAAGAATCTAAAAGCCAGATAGAGGATCAATATTTAGAAACTTGATAGTAATTAATTTCAGTTCCCTGTAACTCACATGTCACAATAAGAGAATAATTTATAAATATTATAACCATTAGATTCTGTCTTAAAACAATCACCTATCATCCATTGGTAAACATGAGACGGTGATATCAGCATTTGAGTCAATATGCTTCTGCAAGCACAGTAACTGTGGATTAGCGAGATTTTCATGGTACAACATTCATGGTACAAGAAATGGAAAAAAGAAGAGGCTTATTGCAGCTCTTAGCAATTGAATTAAGTACCTGCACAAAGTCCATATAGTCTGCCCTGTACAGATGATCGCCAGACAATATCAGTACGTGCTCCACATCCTTGGCTTTGGCATCCTGGTAGCAACACAAGTCATATTGGTGAACTTCAGGGCTCAGGCTGATGATTTCAGCACCAATGCCAAATCCTAATCACTAACCTCAAAGACCCACACAAATTGCCTCACTGCATCAGCTGTTCCTTGGAACCACCTTTTCCCTGCTTCTCCTGGTGTTTGAGTGGCAGCAAGAACCTGTTACATTCAACATGGCTTCATTAAACTTTCACAAAATAGTTGAATTTCATGAGGATGGAATTTGTAAAAAATCACGATCCACACAGAAACATGCATGTCTAAATGAGAAGCCAAACCTCAACTAGCAATATGTACAATTGCAAACATCTCTCCTAGCACTGCTAAATCAACAGGAACTTACCTCCACAAAACCATCTCCAAAATTTACACCGTTTCCAAAATTGTAAGTCCGAGCTAAGTGACGATTGAGGGAGAAGGAGTTAAATTGAGTTAAGATAAATATCTTTTTTATGCCACTGTTGATACAGTTGCTCATAGGAACATCAATCAGCCTGTAGCAACCTCCAATCGGAACCTGCAAACCAAACAAAATCATAGCAAACTTTAAATCTAACAAGTTTTATCAATCATGAGACTTCACACTTAATAATTAGGTTTAATTTTCAAACTTAATTCATTTCGGTATAATTTTCTTTATAACAAAAAAATGCTTATTTTCACAAGAAAATAAAGTTTTAAACTTTTTATGGGCAGTGGTTCCTTACTGCTGGCTTGGCTCTTTTGCTAGTAAGAGGAAACAGGCGTGTCCCAGCACCGCCACCCAATATGATGGAAGCCACATTTTTTGGATCTGCTTTTGGAGTCTCGAATACAGGTGCCTGAAACTTCTGACAGTCATGATTCAAATGCTTAGTGATGATCAAATGCCCACATTGAGACAAAACAAAAGGCATCAGGTAATCAGAAAAATCACAAACTCTAATTATAAGAAATCTAATACTAGTTCTCTACTTCTCGGGACAAACATCACATTAAACACGCTTTCTCTTGCTTACCAGAGTCTCCTTGTCAATATCTGGGGTGAGAACAGAGTAAGCAACTCCAGGCTTAGCATTCTTGACACCCTTTTCAGCTCTCAAACTCTCCCATAACTGTGTTCCAAGGTTCCTGCTTTTAAGACCTCCCCTGATACTCTGACCCCAGAAAACAGAGCCTCCATCACTACGACCTTTGCTAACGTTAATCGGATTGGCATTTGCCTTGAGTGCCATGCAGCAAGATTCCATTGCTGAATTAATTAATCAATAAACCAAAATAACCAGATGATTCTCCGAAGATTCTAACTGGAAATTTTTTTTAAAAAATAAAAACTTAGCTGAAACGGAATCTCCAGTAGAAAAAGCAAAAACAAAAAAAAGAGATCATACAATGAGCAAAACTACTTTGTTAGTGGTCCCAAAATTTCATGGCCACAAAATGTAACTAATGAGAGTACTGATTAAAGAGAGATTAAAATGCTGAGACAACCATTGACTGTGTCTAAGTCAAAAATCAGAAACACCCAGATCCGAGAATAACTCTAATCCGAAGAACCCATATGCAAAAAAGATCCTTTTTTTGTTTTTAAAACACTACCTGAAGTTGCTTGGATCACAAAATTTGTGGGGAGAAGAGGAATGGGTAATTAAAAAATGTGATCAAAGATTTAAAAGAAAGCTCCTTTGCTTAACTTGGAAGTGGAAACACGCAACTAGGACGGAGCACGAATGACAGAGTAATGGCTTGCGAGTTATGAATAGTAGTAGACTAGTAGTAGTATTTTTTATAACTTATAACATCGGCTTGTGAGCCGTCACGAGAAGCACCGCTATGGTGTACTCTATTTCCCCTATATACCAACAGTTGCAGTGCATAAGAAGAGAACATAATTACGGTACGTTTTCTTTGCTTTGTACTCTGATCACACCCTGAATTTCCGAGAGCTTGCAGTTCCCCAGACTTTTATGGCACTCGGCGGATAATGAAAATTCTGCTATTTTTAAGCTCAAGGTTCAACACTTTCATACCAACAAATGAACATTATTTCTCAGTGTATTTGAACCATTTATCAAGGAATGTTCATTATTCTAATAAAAAATTCTTTTAAATTTTAGGCACAATATTTTAAAAAATAAATTAATTTAATTAATAATTAATTAATTAACTATTAATTAAAACATTGTTTATTGTTATCTATCACCCACCACGTCACAAGATGAAGCGGATGACATCATAACATCATAATTTATCATGATTACATGGTACCTTTTATGTTAATGTTGATAAATGATATTTTAATTAAATATTATTAATTAATTATTTTAAAAAAATTAAAA